GCTGGGCCTTGAAGTTTCCGGCGGGGAGGGAAGAGGGGAGGGGGAGAGACCGGATCGCCCACTCTCCCCCCCCCGCGCTGGGGGGGGGCAGGGAGATTTCACTTCTATTTTTTTTTTTTCAAGTTGGAAAAATGGCAGCTCTACTCCGGCTTTTATGGGGTTTTTGTTTGCTCTACTTTATGACGGTGACCATTAGCAACAAGGGGACATATTTTGTAACAGGAAGTTTCAAAGGTGAAGTAGGTCACGCTGGCCTTTTAAAAATTTTTTTCCTCTTTTTAAGTTTAAAAAAAATGTGTGTTTCTTTATTATTCTACTTCCTAGTCGTCTTCATCGGTTTTCTGCTTCTTCGGATCGACGTCGTCGTCCTGCAAAGAAGGCGAAAGGGTAAGACAATCCAGGGACCAGGAGGGCAATTTCCACTACTATAAAGCCCCCAGTTCAATATGGACACCTTTCTGCTCCTGAAATTTGTTTTCACGACAGGTCCACCTCCCTGCATTTCCTAGCAACTTAACAGCAGGAGCACCCCACCATCTTCCCGGTCCAGCAGAACGTCTCCCTGATGTTATGAGCAGTGCAGGAAAAACATGTACTCTTTCACCCCGAAGCAAGCCATCCCGTTTTCTTCCATCGTTCCGGCTGGAGCGGATCGCATTATGCAAAACTCTGTTCCCGCAACCGGCCTTTCTCTAACGCACTTCCATCATCTTTTCCATCTGGGTCAGACTACATGCCCCATCTTCCTCAGCCACCCTGACGAACCTGCCTAGAATTCTCTGCACTAACAGCTTATGCTTTGGGTTATCTGTGGATTGCCATCGCTTTGAAGAATCCTGGGTATGTAGCTTATAAAGGTATCTTGGCATCGGAGAGACCCCGATGGGAAAGCCACCCTCAAAGGACGTCAGCTGGCCACTGGACCCAGGCGGGAGTCTGGCCCAGGAAGCAGGTAGCCGAGGGCTTTGGGAACCAGGACTTCCAAAGACAAGGTCACGTGTGTTGAAATTAAGGCCATGTTCCTGCTTGGGATACGTCGCAGCAGCTTCTAAAGATGGGGCAGGAACTGCTCATCCTGCCTTCTCAAAGGATCCCTCACCTCATCATCCTCAGCTGCCCGTTTGCCGGTGGGACCCTCAGCTTCATCGTCTTCATCACCGTCGTCTTCTTCGCCTGGAAAAGGAAGGACACTCTGAGAAGGAGCTCCTAGTGCAAACTGTACCTTCACATCCCTCAAAGGCCGTTCTGAGCTCTCCAACCCGGTGCCCTCAAAGCAGGTTGGGACTCCAGCTGCCCACAGGACAGAAAGACTGATCTATCTAAACCAGCATCCTGTTTCCTGCCATCAGGCCAAACCAGATGCCTACAGGAAGTTGCAAAGCACATGCAAGGAACAGACTCCTTCCTGAACAGGATCCCCAGAGACCGGCATTCAGAAGCAGAAAATCTCCAGAAAGGAGCGAGTCACTTCAAGGGAAACATGGAAGCAAAGCAGGGCTTAAGATGCAGGGGGAGGGTGATGCCAGACCACCGCCACCACCAGCCCTTCTCCTCTCCATATACGCTCAAGCACCTAACTAAAAAGGCACATCAAAAATATGGAGGAAGTGTCGCTGAACACTCAACAATTCATTTCTACCATGTTCCTGAATTAATGTTAATTCTATCTTATCCCAACGGCTCAAATCCTTGCAAAGGGGATGCGGATAAGAGTTAACCTACTAAACTTTTGAGAGGGAACCTCTGCTCTCCTTGCATTCAGGGAAAAGGAACTCCTAACGAGAAATACAGAACATAGGATGAATGCTTCCAACCAACCCCACACGATACCCACGCCAGCCAGCAGTGGCTGCCTCGCTCAGCCAAAACCGCATTATTTCTGCATCTCTTCTCTGCTACAAGCCACTCTTTAATCAGGGGGAGAGCCAGAATCCATTAGTTTGGGCACAAGCTTTCTAATTATCCCTCCTCTGGATTCTCCCGTATCTTCCCAAATTCATGGAGATGGAGAAAAAGCTAGAATTGAACCCAACTTGAACCAGGAAAAGAAGACCTCCCCCCCCCCAGGTTTTTCAAGCTACAGCATGGGGGGGGGGGCATTGCATTAAAGCTCTTTGGTTTAAGTAAGTGGGCCCATCTGACCCCTCTAGGAGAGGCTAATAATCTGGCTTAAATGTCACTGGGATCTGAGAGATTAGAGTCACCCGAGAATAACTTTCCCCCACCCAGTTTCCCCCACCCAGAAGATTCGCTTCTCCAATTTCCCCAGCATGCAACCCGAGTCCCAGGAGAGAGCAACTCAGACCCACCGGGGGCGGGGGACCACGGTGGCTGGCAGCGCGGCGCATCCCCATGGCTTCTCAGCTCGGCTCCCCACCCTCTCTCCTCCATCAGCAGACGTATCCAGGCAACAGTCCCCACCCGGCAACTGACACCCAATGACGGAAAACAACGGCTTGGATGCTCGCGGGCTTTGGTGGGGGCTTCAGGGGCTTGATCAGAGCCAGCCACTTTCTAATCCCGCGCAGGGCGGCTTCCTAGGCGGGGACAGGTTTGACTTAGCAGCTCTGGCAGCTGGCAATTTGTGGGCATCCTCCAGCTGGCACTGAAGCCAGGGCGTGGCGGCCAAGCTGAGGGAGAATGCCAGCAAGGGAACCGCTGGGCATTCCAAGCTCCAAATGTTTGCAGGTCTCCAGCCTGTGGCATCAATGAAGGACTCGGAGCAAAGCCAGCTGAGCTTAGCAGGAATACCGCACTACGTTTCCCCCTCGGCCTGAAGAGCCGCAGTTCTCATTCACGGAGAGGGCAGCATTGCTTACCCCCGGTGGGGAAAAGGAGCCCTCTCTTCTTACTCTCCTTTCAGCCTTCTGACCACAAAGATCAACCCAAAAGGCTGCAAGCTGTGGGAGTCAACACTTATGGCTAACCCCAACCTGGTGCTTTCCTGATACGTTGGGTTTCAACTACCATCATTCCCTACCAGCCCAGGAGATGAAATCCACCCACTGCAAAGGCGGGGGACATTCAGTGGTGATTTATGGAGTCTGCACCTCGCGCTGTGCAAGAGTGTCCCTGCCTCATCTTACAGGCAAAAGTCCTGCCCAGCGAGCAGTTTGTAGCCTCTCCTCCAAGGAGGCGTGGTGGATCTCAACAAGGGAGAGATTTTTCTGTGGTGGTACCCTTTTATGGAAGCCCCTGTCCAGAGAAGCTTCATGGGAGCCCACTGGCATCGTTCTATTGCCGCTTTTGCAGGCTTGTAATTATATTTAACACATATTGCCCTAGATCCTGAAGGACCCCCTATTTTGGTGTTCTCATTTTGCATTTTATTTGACCTTAGCGTGCATACTTTTATTTGTATTTTTAGCATGGGTTATTGAAAACTGCCCAGACAGCTTTGGCTATTGGGAGGTTTTAAAATTTTAATAAATGAACTGCCTGCGTGTTAAACCCCAACAGAAGCTCCAGAACGGGTCTCCTCAGTGCCCGAAGGCAAGCCAGTTTGGAAGGAAGCTGCAAATGTTTTCTGTGCACAGAATTCTAGTTTGAATGAGGGCGCTGCCACAGTTCTGGTTTGAAAGAGATGGAGGTTAAGCCTCCGTTTAGCCATAAGTCAGCTTACCTGCTGGGATGGGGGTCAGCCGAAAAGGTTAAAAAAAAACCCCACAGTCCTTTGATGGAGGCAAGATGCAAGTGAATAGCTGTTTTTAATTCCTCTCTCCCCAAGAGGCTATCTGGACATTTCTGTGAACTCCAGGTCTTGGCACCAGTTTTGCAAATGAAAACAGTTCTATTTAGCTGTTTTTCTCAGGCTGAGATCATCCCACTGGTCGAAAGGCTAAACTGACTCATACATTGCGCTCTACTCGGAATGGCCACTAGGGGGAGCCAGTGCTCTCCACACAATCCATCCTTGCAAGCTCAGCCCAAGCTTCTCCAACCAGGTGCCCTCCAGCTGGGTTGACTATAATATCCCAAACCCTGAGCCAATACAGGAAGGGAGACCAGAAAAGGAAATTTACCATCACCTTCTTCCTCATCTTCCTCATCATCGCCAACTTCTTCTTCTTCTTCGTCTACCTCGTTGTCTGCTTCCTGCTCCCCATTTTCCTCGTTCTCCTTGTAGAAATGAAACACACTTAATAAAGGGAGCCCACCCACCACTCGCTAGGAGGGCGACCAAACTCCCTGGCACTTACAGACCAGGGCCTGCAACAAAGGAACTGCGATCGGTCTCCTACAACTGTGAGAACAGCAAGGATGGCCATTCACGTTGTGGTTCACTGAAACTAAGGGGGCTGCAAAGGGGGTGGGCGAGGAGGACTAGGGATAAGCTTTGCTAAGAGACCCCCCCCCCAAAAACACCTTCAACAAACCCTCTATTTAACTACAACTCTTTTCATAGCAGCCAAACCATCTTGGGCCAGCCACATTTCCCTATTTGATGTAAAGAATCCCTTTACGCTCTCTAAATCAGTGTTTCTCAACCTTGGCAACTCTAAGAAGTGTGGACTTCAACTCCCAGAATTCCCCAGCCAGCCATGCTGGCTGGGGGATTCTGG